AGAATATCCGCTTCAAGCGACATCACCTCGTCAGGAAGCATCTTTGAGGGTCGGCTACAGACAAGACACTAGCTGCTGAGTCTGTGGTACCAAGAGACAACATCTCCTCTAGCATCCAACAACTCACCTTATGTTATTATCGACATCAAGTTCATCAGTATTAGTAGTGGTGTCGGAGGAGGAGGGAGCGAGATCACCCTTGAAAGGCGAAGGTGATGGCACAACGGCAGAGCAGGTGTCAGTGGCCCAAAAACCGCTGTCCGAGTGCTTTCTTTGCGAGTCTGTAGGGACCTCGTTGGAGGCTGCTGCAGCGGTTGCGATGGACTTCTGGCGTATGAAATTATTTCGAGGACCAGCAGTGCTATAGCAACTGACTCCACTGCTTCCACTGCTGCCCAAGGGAGTCTGTGGTACGCCACTGTCTGGACTCAACATTTGCCGTGGCATTATAGACGCGTCCTTCATCGTCTACAAATAGCCGAAATTACATTCACGAGGGCAAAATATGGCGATTAATCCAACGATTTCCAAAATGACCTACCTTGGGAGGTATAAACTGAGAGCAGGTCTGAACGGAAGATTTAGGGATTACTGCTTGGTTTACTGAAATGAAGACAAAAATTGAAATTTCCTCTTTGAGGAAGAGCGTTTGGGGCCAAAAAAAGTGGAATAAAAAGGACCTACCAACATTATTGATACCGTAGTCACTTTCAAACATTCGGCGGAGACTTTTTGGCGGAAGCATAACAGAGGAGTAGGCGGAGTACCGGTCCGATAGTTGAAGCATGCGCTGGAATAATAAAACAGATCATTAATGAGGAATATTTATCTTGAGACTTAAAGACAGGCAATAATTGTTCGACACTTTACCTGCATCAACGACTCGATATCCTTCCAGTGACCGGGAACTACTTTGAGCTTGTTGTAGCGAGCAAGAAGTCGAGAGAAATGAGCTTCTGCTGCCTCTCGCGAGTCTGCACAAGGGACGAAAAAGGAGAGATGAATTTTACAAATTCAATTATAGGTTCACAGTTTCAGGTTTTGTAAACATAGATCAGAACCCTATTA